TGGGCAGCAGGAACGTGTGTAATGCGAAGGTAAAATTTTTCTCCAAGGCTCGTTGGGCTATCTTCTGAAATCTGAAATCCTGAATGGGAATAGCTGGTTGTTTGGGTCTGTGCCTAGACCCTTGTAGAAATATTCAAGGTCAAACAGGCTTCTTGCTTATTAAACCTTTAGAATGCTCACAGGTTGTACTTGTTTGTGCCCACAGATCTCAAAACACTTCCTTTATGATGCAGGACTCACGAGCCCTATTTGCCATTAGAGGAAAGAGGTACAAAGAAGGGAAGGCACATGCAGAGGTCCCTCAGCAGCCCACTGACAGAGACCCCAAGACCTTTCTGTCTTTGCTCAATGTTCTACTCTTAATGACAGCTCTGGTCTCCATTCCTGGACCCTGGAAGATGTCTCAGGCAGCCTAGCCTTGCCTCCATGTGCTCTGAAGCTTACATGAACAGTAAACCTACATGTAAATCTTTGTAGTGTGAGCTAGACCATGTCATGAAACAATGATAAGCATCTGCAAGATGTAGCAGCTGGAGCCTATCTCTGCTGGCAGTCGAGGGCAGCTCTGGAGCAGCAGGAACGATGTTTCCTGCTGCTGAGCCAGCATCATGCCTGTCCATCCCAAGACATGCACACAGAAGAGTAGAAAACAGCCAAGAGCTTGGTGAGAAAAACTTAAGGCTGAGATAGGGGGCATACTGTGGCCTTTTGTCACAAGCAGAGCAAAGCCTGCCTGTAATCACATACAAGGTTAGAAGAAGGTGCACAGCACCAACCACTCTGGCTCCTCCTGACTGCTAGCTATCCATCCATAGAATCATAGAATGCTTTGGGTTGGAAGGGACCTTGAGAGATCATCGAGCCCAACCCCCCTGCAGTGGCCAGGGATTGAACCTGTGAACTTGGCATTATTAGCACCGTGTTCTAACCAACTGAGCTAACCCGGCTGGTCATCTCTGTGGACATCTGTATATCTACTTGTTTTTAAATCTTCCTCTCCCCTTATCTACCCATCTGTCTTCCTGTCTACCCAATCACATGCCGCATTTAGGATCCGTGCTTCCCTCCTTACAGGCAAGTCTGCAATGCGATTTGCCTTACTGCCATCTAGTGACTCACTCTCATTTATTCCCCACTCGTTCTGACTTGGGACAGTTCAATGCTCCTGAAGCTGCTCGCGTTCCCAGGAGCACAGCTGTGCAGCCATTAGAAATTGCCACTTCGATGCCTAAAACTGGCCACTAAAATCCCTTACCATACATCCCATATCCCCACAGCCTGTGTGGATTTGCAGACATCGCTGCAGACAGCACCAGCTCATTCACTGCACACATACCAAACACCTTCCAGGAGTGGAAAAGTCAGTAAGATTCCCTCTGCAGCCCATTGCAACCTCCACACATGTACTTCAGAACATCCTGAAAGGGAGCTGCAAGCCATGCTCATGCTGAGGAAGCAATGCCATGACCTCTCTTTAGGGCTGGGCAGCTTTGGACAGCATTTCCTCTTGCTCTTGCACTTAATTTTGGCTTGAATTAAGGCATCCAAGAAGGTGTTACACCTCTGAGCTCGGAGGCTGGAGACTCTGCAGGATGCCCTGATGATTCAGCTCTTTCAAGGACTATAATTCATTCAGGACCTTGGATGAGTGTGTGGAACTTCATCTTAAGTTTTCTCTTTGCTGGGTTCTGGGTTTTTTTTTTCTCTTCTGCTTATAAAAGCCATCCCCACAAAAAAAGGCAGTCTGCGATTGAAGTCTTAATACATTATCTCTGTCATCTTGCAGGCTTCCTTACAGCCTCTTCAGAGCACCTAGCCAAATGGTTGCCACAGTCCAGGAAACTGGAGCAACTTTCTTTTGCCTTTGGAGACACTCAGTATCTCTATCCAGATTTCCCAGGCACTGTTTCACCTATTGCTCTTCTTGTCCCCAAATTTCCAGCTCATGCCTACCACTGTTATGCAGCCCCTCAATATAATCTGTGACACCATGCTGTGTACCATGTTCTGCCACCACTTTCCCAGCCTGACACCAGGCAGGTGAACCAGCAAAGAGCA